TATAGCGCAACAGTGCGGAAAACTACATTTACCGAGTTTTCGGGGCACTAGAAATCATTATTACTGTAAAATCATTCATTTTCGTCCGGTAGGCTTTATTTATTGATGACTCCATAAGTACTTTAAGCCAACGAATTCAGTTTTTTCCCTAACGGACAAACATGTGAGAAATAGCATTGATTTTGGCACTAGTTGATTACGCGAGAAAGATATATTTATGAAACCGACCGCCATCGAAAATGCATATTTTTTTTTCGTGTAAATAACGAAATTCGAGCTCGGAGAACAAATATAAAATTTTACAATATATTAAATGTACATGAAAAATGTTAGCGAATATGAAGTACAGTCGTTAGAAAAAAGGTCCATACCATTCCGCAGACAAAAACATGACAAAAAAACAATTAGAAGTTGTACGGATATATTCAATTACTGTAAAAGAATATTTTCGTGGGAATCAAAATTTCTGAATTGATAAAACGAAACTATATTTAAATGAAGAAGAAACTGTAAGTATATAGACTTATATATGTTTTGTTTAGGTTATCGGGAGTTTTCACCAGTAAATTCAATTTACTCGAGTTAATTTGTAGTTAAGTCCGATAACCTAAACAAGATGTGGAGCTAGTCCTTAAGAGAACGGCACTTCATCTCACAACCTCGACGTAAAAATACACTTCCTATTGATTTTTGGTAAAACTGCGAAAATTTCACTGAGTGAAAAAAAAACAACATTTACAGTATTAATGAAGGTGGTAAGTATGAAATGAGATAATTTGTCAACCCAACATATGTTTATGATTCCAGAGTTTTCATCAAATACTCAGACATGACCTAGAGTGTCCGTGATCCTCATGGTTAGTATATAGGGAAGAATTGTGACAGCCAAAACACGACACAAAGGCTTACATCATAACATAAACAGCTTCATTGTCACTTGTCACTTATTTTTTGAATTAATTTATTTGTAATACCGATTAACAATTTAAAAATTTTAGAATTAGCATTATAATTGGATTCATTATATATTTATCACTAAATACCAGTGAAGTAAAAAATGAATTTAGTCATGGTAGAATTTAAATGTTACTAACATGTATTTGGCGGAAACTCTCTGTACCCTGCTCAATCGTCAGAAGGGCTATTACATGTATGTACATTTGTATGTTTCAAATTAACCTATTTTAAATCCAGCTAAGAGCTTTGAAGTATCATACATTTGGGGGAAAGGTAACATCGTTTCATATAAAGCATAGAGTTCAAAGCACCATAAAAATTGGTAGTTACGTGTCTTTTGATTGGCTAAGCCTGTTCAAATGAGCAATCGTGTTACAGAAATTGTTGTGATATACCAAACACAGAAGAGTTCCCACGCTTCCAGCAGATGTCAACTTTGTCACTGCACTGACATTTGATTGTTTAGTAGATTATATTGTCCGTGAACTGTGAGTTCAGTCTCATTTTAAACTTTTAAAGCATCTCTCAGAGATCGGGTTGAAAGATTGGTAAATGTTATTCATTGAAATGGCAAACTTTCTCTAGTACTAATACCGTCTTCACATTTGAGTCTTGGTAAACAAACTCATTAGAGCAAATAAACGTATTCATGATTTATCCAGTGGTGACCAATCAGTGAATTCTAACTTAAATAAAAGCTTTATTTTTTTTCTCTGTTGCTGATGTCAACCAATCATTACTGAAACAAGGTTTAGTTTCAAAGATGTAATGTCGTGACAAAATACTTTCTACGTTTATTTAGCGGAATAAATTAACTGAATATGACAAAGATAATTAGATCAGTGGCGTTTAATGCATAATATTCAAGTATTACTTTTTTTAAACATATTCTGAAACGAAACTAATCTGATTAACGAAAGCCTGTGATCCACTGTACACATAATAGCAGTATGGACACAACACGTTAGAACAGAGACTTGTTACTTGTCTCTCAGCTGTCTGTACACTCATGAATATTAATGTTACGTACGTGTGGATGGTGTGCAGAATGGTGGTCTTATGGTTGGACACATCCTGTTTCATAACGACTGGCCACGTCACTTCCTGTCATATATTGACTGGCCACGTCACTTCCTGTCTCATAACATCTGGCCGCGTCATTCATTGTTATCACATCTTAATATTGACTAGAAAGATACACTGAGCTTAATCCCTGGTTCTTAAATAAATTTGTAATCCAACGTTTTGACGACGAACTATCTGCTGATCAAGCGTGTATATAATCCATGTTGGGTCTTATGAATTAAAGTAACATCCTCTTCTATACTTTCCAATACTTTAAGCGCACATTAAATCCCATTATCATTTTCATGGTGACTTGGAGAATCACAATTGAGGTCAGTCTATGAGCCAAATATATATATATATATATTTAGTATATATATGTTTTTAATTAGAGATGTTTAATCTATTTAACCATGGTACAATCCTCCGAGCACCTGAAATAATGGACCCCGTTTTAAATTCCGATTTTTGGAGTCCGTTTTGATTTATTTACGAAATATAAGAATGCACATTACTGTAGTTTTCAATACGTCCAAGGCCATGACCATCTATTGTGTGGCTTTCTCCACATACCATCCTTAAAACATTACCTAAATCTAGCAATATATATAAAAACCACTATTATTTGTTTACCTGTCTAGTATGACGTAATCTAAAACCGATTGGTGACGTAATCAAATAATTGTATCATTTAAATATAATAATTTCGAAACGATTAACCCAAAATTTTGTCATCGTCGTTATGAACGGTGCATTAAACCATTTTGTCATTTCTTATCATTCTAATAAACAATGAACCTAATTTGACTATTTTTTCGATTTTCTTCACACTATTCAGATCTTGATTGCGAAATGTAAAAAGTAGAAAGTTCAACTTTTTTTAATACGAGTTGTCATTTTAAACTGAAATAACTTTTACAATCTGTTGAATGTTCTTTAAAGGATTATGACCAAATGGAACCTGACAAATAGGTATTGACCTTGAACTAAATGAAAAAATCAATGCAAATCCAAATGACGTAAAATCCAAAGAATTTCACAACTTTCCTGATTTTTTCACTCGGGATACACTTTTATCGCTGTTGGCCGGTACAACCAGCAATGGTCAAAGTGGTGAGTATTTTCGCCCTTTCTATTTATAAGACCTACAAAAATACTGACATTTAAACGCATGATAACCAAAATATCATGACCTTCTAAGCCTATAGCACGGGACTAGTCATAGTACGTGGTATTTCAGGACGAAACGTTCTAATGTTGAATGGCATTTCAAGAAAATTCTTTTCAAAATATCATGACCTTTTCATGACTTTTAAGCTGAGGGTAAATGGTTAAGAATGGTATATGTTACATCGCGGTACCAAACATCAAATATACTATCATCTCTATCCAAAGCTAACGAATACACACGTAAGATACACATTTCACTGGTTTAAGTCATCACATATGTACTATCAGCGGTCGAGAACATCTGGTAGGTTTTCTGTGAATATACGGATTTCTTACAGATGTTTGTAACGGCATATGTTTAGCATCGGTAACATTTCCTCGTCAGTTTAACTACGGACGAAAGTCCCAACATGTTCTGAAAAGTTTCCAGAAACTTTGTAACGCTTCGTGTCTACTGAAAGGACAAGATAAAAAACTGAAAATAACAGAAGCCTTTAATTTGCTTGATTTATTTTCTTTCTTTGTACTTTACTCGTCCTAATTCAATTTAATTTCTTCTTTCATTACAATTAGATGGAAGATATCTATCGTCGGTATAATGACACAGGAATAGTGCGGAATGAAACGATAAATGAAAAAAATAAAGATGGTGTTATAATGGGGAGAATTGTGATAGGCCTGTGATATATTCTTTGAAATACATACCAAAGCATTACGAAGCCGATTAATCTCCAATTATCACTTTCAATCATAAGCTATATTGTTTGGGTTCGACTTTCAAACAGACTAATTTGTCTGTGGAAGGTCACAATAGCAGACATAAAACCTCTTCATAAATGAAATAAGTAAATAAAATTTACCATCTCTCAAAGTTTATAGTTTGTCATCATATTATTATTTAATAAATAAAATATCTTTTAATCATTATTAACTACACAGTAGTTGGAAAAAAACAACAGTATTGTCAAATTTGATATTAGATATTTTCAACAAGGTACAAAAAATACCATTTACTATTTGAGAAGTGGTATTTTTTTATGATTTGTTAGCTTAAATCTGGCGTAAACACAAATGCATGTATTCTGCCAAAATTCTGAAAAAGAAATGTATGTCTGTTATTTCAAACAGTTCACCTTTGTCACCATTTTTAATGTTTAAGTTGATTGTTTTTACATTTATATGAAAAAATATTATAGATTTAAAAATTAATGCAATACTCCGTCAAGCTAACCAGCCATTGAGATGAAATCAAAACATTCAAACGATGGGTACCGGACGTAAGTACATTACGACATAAATGGTTATCATATTTCTGAAGGGATCATATTCGGGAAATTACATCATATTTGATATTTGGTATGTTAATGTGGACCGAGTCAGCATGCATGACCTACTTTCTTTCGGCACTAAATGATCGCGATCATTGGGACGTGAGAATTTTTAACAGTCTTGATGACACAGGGACCTGATAATTTGTTAGTCTCAGTGAACTTTGATCTACCCTGGTGTGTATAACAAGCACCTGAAAACTAGTTACAGTCTACGTGAATGTGGACTTATCCTGGTCTGTATCACAGGAGTCTATGTGAAATTTGGGATTATCCTTACTTTTATTAGGCTAAGTGAATTTATTCAGTCCTGACTGCGTCACAGGGACCTGACAGATTGTTATTTTACCTTTCCTGATCTCTGTCACAGGGACCTGACAGATTGTTATTTTACCTTTCCTGGTCTCTGTCACAGGGACCTGACAGATTGTTATTTTACCTTTCCTGGTCTCTGTCACAGGGACCTGACAGATTGTTATTTTACCTTTCCTGGTCTCTGTCACAGGGACCTGACAGATTGTTATTTGACATTCCCTGGTCTCTGTCACAGGGACCTGACAGATTGTTATTGGACATTCCTTGGTCTATGTCACAGAGACCTGACAGTTCGTTATTGGACCTTTTCATGTCTATGTCACAGAGACCTGACAGTTCGTTATTGGACCTTTTCAGGTCTATGTCACAGGGACCTGACAGATTGTTATTGGACCTTTTCAGGTCTGTGTCACAGGGACCTGACAGATTGTTATTGGACATTCCTTGGTCTATGTCACAGGGACCTGACAGATTGTTATTGGACCTTTTCAGGTCTGTGTCACAGGGACCTGACAGATTGTTATTGGACATTCCCTGGTCTCTGTCACAGGGACCTGACAGATTGTTATTGGACATTCCTTGGTCTATGTCACAGAGACCTGACAGTTCGTTATTGGACCTTTTCATGTCTATGTCACAGAGACCTGACAGTTCGTTATTGGACCTTTTCAGGTCTATGTCACAGGGACCTGACAGATTGTTATTGGACCTTTTCAGGTCTGTGTCACAGGGACCTGACAGTTCATTATTGGACCTTTTCTGGTCACTGTCACAGGGACCTGCCAGACTGTTATTTGACATTCCCTGGTCGGTCTAGATTTCTGTATAGACACTGCAGGATCCAATCACTATTTGGTAAAGGGACACATTTGTTTCAGTTTTTACCAGATGTTGCTTTACATTCTTATATATCTTGCAGCCCAATATTGATCTACGTTCTTTACTCTGTAGAAAACTTTCAGATTTTTGTGATCGTCAGTCACATACGACAGATTCACAGACATTTTACAATTCACAAACAATATTCTGTCATATTTGATTGGCTTCTTTTGTTTCATACTATTTAAAATAAATCAAATTTCAATAATTTTGCGTACTCGGGGTTTTAAATCTACAATCAGTGACAATTTTTCTCACAAAAGAAATCTAATAGTACTTGTCTTCATGAAAATGTTTATTTTTTCCACATATTTCAGTACCAGTGAGTGGCTTCACACCGGTGTAAAAAGTCTGTTTTTCTCTTGGTACATGTAGGTGATAAGTATCCTGTGTATAAGTTTACAGTCGATAACGTATGAAGAAGAAATCCCCATTAATACGTTAGGATTGCTAGAATCTCCCCAGATACTACACTCATCTGACTTTGTAAATACTGTCGAAAACTACAATAATGGCAAGCTTCATCAAAACGTCTATTATGTTTTTATCTAAACAGACCCATATCGCTCCAATATTCGGCAAATTAGCGGATTTTAGCCATGTAGACATCCGTTCAGCATCAAATGTCATAATATGTGAATTATTTATTTCTCAGTGTTGGAGACAAGTATTTTCCTTAACAGTTGTGGGATCGCACAACGATATACAATAAGTTTTTTTGGGTGTGTAATTTTGAGCACGGATATAGTACGGACTACTAGGTGTGTAACCTCTATGTACGCTACAACAGATACCTATATGACCATGACTGCACGGGTCTCCGTGTCTAAGCCTGATAAAATCATTCATCCATGACTGAGACCATTCTACCTGTCCGCTCACGTACACACGACTTGACTAGCAATAAGGGGACATAACCCATGGTATCCTGTAGACGTTAAAGTAGTTGCAAATGAACCAAATAGCTTCAACATCTCACCATATTTCAGTTTTTTCGTGAAAATATTGCTACGTAATTTGTTATTTTAACATTAATACCTCTCGGCAGGTTGTTTTTAAAGTTGCATTGGAATTTGAGTGAAACCGTGTACTATATATGCAAATGACGTTTACCCACAAAGCAGACTTTATGGGCCCAATATAGTAAATGCGCAAAAGAGTGGATGGAGGGAGTTCGTCTACTCCCAAAAGGAAACGTTCAACCGTCAATGTAGTTAGACAGTTTCGCCTTTCAGGGGTTGAAACTTTGAAGTCTGAGAGGCGACCAAGGACGATCCTCAGGTGATCGAAAGACACTGGACATTTCTTCCTTCTGTTAAAAATATCAGTGTAAATTCTATTAGCATAAATAATAACAGACAAAACAGGGTTCAATGTCCTTTTTTGAAAGAAATATTAACATTTCAAACTCTACTGTTAATAAGTCTACAATCAATGCCGTAACGCTAGCACAGTGGTAAGATCCCTGCTCTCAGCTGCAAAGTTCTTTGATCGAGTGCTCCTATCGGGTTTGTTTTAAGGGAGATCACATGGTATTCTGTTTCGAAAGGAAACATTTAATTATGAAACAATTAAATCGTTGGTTGGTTGAGTTGTGAAATGAAGTTTCCATATTAGTCTAATAATTCTTACAACGTCCCCAATCTTTGAAACGTCTCGGGCGTATGTAGGATACGAAATTGTAAATATAGAAAAATTGTGAGGTAAGGGATTATCCTTAAATTTACTATCTGATATATGATTGCAGCATATTAATATATTATTTATGTGTAAGTTGCTATCTAATCAGTTGTAACTGTTTGTAATAATGCGGGAGAGGGCTTTACATAATTTCAATAACTTGTGCCCAATCCTCCATTAAATATGGTTAATGGGCAATGTTAAACTGTTGACATACGATATCAAACGTGAAATCATTAAATATCCTCTATATGTTTCAAGGTGACTAGAAATCACCGCTCTGATTGGTTAAAAGAACGGAAATTATACATGTATCATTACTGGGATAACATCATTGATAATAATACCATATCATTTTGAATATGATATGAAGGTTTTAATTTGAATGATAAATTCCTATGTTTCCCTGGGGAAAATGTAATAGAATCCAATAATCATGATTCAAGTTATTTCTACATGGCTAACGTAAAAACTATTAATTATTCTGTGTTTAATAACGCTTTATACAACGCCTTACAAAAAGGGAACAAACATTGTACTTAAGGTCACAAAAGCTTATTCTATAGGTCAGGAAATAAAATCGGACAGTATAGCAAAAATATTAAGAATAAGTGTGACGTTTAAATTACTACACGGTCACCTTCATCTTATATAACACAACCAGTTGAAGATTTGAGTGTGATGTTCCAATGACTATACGGTCACCTTTATCTTATATAATACAACCAGTAGAATATCTGAGTGTGATGTTTCAATGACTACACGGTCACCTTTATCTTATATAACACAACCAGTAGAATATCTGAGTGTAATGTTTCAATGACCACACGGTCACCTTTATCTTATATAACACAACCAGTAGAATATCTGAGTGTAATGTTTCAATGACCACACGGTCACCTTTATCTTATATAACACAACCAGTAGAATATCTGAGTGTAATGTTTCAATGACCACACGGTCACCTTTATCTTATATAACACAACATACGACGACTTTCGAATCGTGTCACACACTATACTAGGGGAGGTAAACATACCACACACTATACTAGGGGAGGTAAACATACCACACACTATACTAGGGGATGTAAACATACCACACACTATACTAGGGAGGTAAACATACCACACACTACTAGGGAGGTAAACATACCACACACTATACTAGGGGAGGTAAACATACCACACACTATACTAGGGAGGTAAACATACCACACACTATACTAGGGAGGTAAACATACCACACACTATACTAGGGGAGGTAAACATACCACACACTATACTAGGGGAGGTAAACATACCACACACTATACTAGGGAGGTAAACATACCACACACTATACAAGAGAGGTAAACATACCACACACTATACTAGGGAGGTAAACATACCACACACTATACTAGGGAGGTAAACATACCACACACTATACTAGGGGATGTAAACATACCACACACTATACTAGGGAGGTAAACATACCACACACTATACTAGGGGATGTAAACATACCACACACTGTACTAGGGAGGTAAACATACCACACACTATACTAGGGAGGTAAACATACCACACACTATACTAGGGGAGGTAAACATACCACACACTATACTAGGGAGGTAAACATTCCACAAAATATACTAGGGAGGTAAACATACCACAAAATATACTAGGTGTGGTAAAGATATGGTTTATGTAACAAAATGAAACTTGACGAAAGGCATTGTTGTTGTCAGTCGTTTCAGAGATTGAAATAATTATATAAAGTGTTGTAAACTTCACCCCTGCCCATGGAGAAATGTACCATTCTAGGGTCATGAAATTTACATTTTTTTGTAAAGCACGACCCTTCCATCGATGAAGAGCATTTGATTCTACACAAGGTGTTGATAGGAAGATTTTTGAAGCAGTTTGACCCTTTGGCCCCGGCCATCATCTCCTGAGGGTCAACCAAGACCATTGTGTGCATGCTATCAAGCCACCAGCCTATAATAAGAATTTTTGCCAAGTTTGAAGTATTCCAATGAAAAAACAAATTAAGCTCAAATTTTGATTTTTTTCCATAAAAACTACGGTAAACTTTAACCCCTTCCCGGGGGAAAACTGTAGATCCTTGGAGTCATGAAATTCACATTTTTGAGAGAGTAATTTAAGACAATTCCATACATAAAGAATATTTGATTCTGCCATATTTTGGTGTTGAGAAGGAGATTTTTGAAATTTTAGCCAATTTGAACATGTTTGACCCCTCCTGTCAGGCCTTGGGGGTCGGCCAGGATCAATATGTGAAAACCGTCAGGTATTTTTCCACAAATTATAATTCTAACAAAGTTTGAAATATTTCCAATAGAAATAAACAAATGCTTCAATGTAAACTATTGTAAGCATATTCCCTCCGTGAAGGAAATGTGAGACCCTGGGTCTTGAAATCCAGAATTTTGGTAAAAAATGCTATGGCATATGGTAATAGGTCAACATTAAACATAAACATCATTTTGGGGCACGGCAGCAGAGACGGATCTTCGTAAAAATGGCGCGGTTTCTCTTAGTTTCTTTATGGAGTGGAAGTTTTCGAGCAAAACTGTTTTTGTCTGTAAAGCTTTGTCACTGAATGTGAAGTTTACATAACAATAATTACCATACATTATACCAATAATTTAAATGCTTAGATATAAATCTTCTTATCAAGATAACGGTTTAACTGGTTTTTAGAAGAGGTTGCGAAGGTTTAGGGTATGGATAGAATATGAAACCTAACTCAATGTCTAGATTCTAATTATATAGCTTTGCAAAGACACCTTCTCAGACGATAATTTCATGTACCTTCCAGTGGACGATGAAGTTAGCCGAGTTGTACTTGACTCGATTTCTTTAAAAGGCTCTCAATAAAAACCCTGAACAAAATTATTGTTAATTGAGGACAGGATACTCGGATTTTGAAAATATCGGTACAAGTTTCGTCTAGCTAATTCAGTAATTGGACAAAGCGGGGATATAAACTGGACAAAGGAAAGTGAGAAATTATCTGAAATAGTGACCTATCTCATTGTCCAAGAAGTGTTATGTGAGTCACTGAAGCGTGCTATACCACACGTGCATGCTGTTAGAATGACCCATAGAATTTAATCTCCTAAACGTGTGTAGATGACCCCACGAGATCAATTCAGCAGTGACGGCTAATTAAATTCCGTTGTGCTTAAATCCCGGAGGCGAGGAAAAGAGACACGTGTTATAGTATTATATTAC